CATTTTTGAAGGGAGAAAAAGTTGCAGATTAGTTACAACTACAACGACAAGTGTCCTCAGAATGAAATCATTTAAGTTCCCGTATACTATAAAATACGTTCAACTTTGGGATGAAAACGTTCATTACTTCTCGTGTGTATTCATTAGAGCTTCTTAAAAGGTTGATAAAAAGTAATTATCATAATAATAATAATTCATAGCACAGTGCATTCCATTCACTACCATTCGTTTTTCCTGCTTTTTTTAAAACTATTTCTTGCTTTTCTTTCTACTTTTCAAAATATAATTTTCTTGTTTTCTTATTTATGTGTGCATGCAAAACATGCAGGCATTGATTTGTTTTTTTTTTTTTGAGTTGTGTGTTTAACTTTTGTATAGTGTTCATGCGTGGGCTTTGTTACCGATATATTTGGTTCAGGTTCAGGGGTGCCATTTACCATTTCCATTATGCAGCTTCAATGAAAAAAAAAAAAAAAAAAAAAAAAAAATGAAAAAATAAATAACAAGAAATGACATCAAGCAAAGATTGTATACAAGTGAATGAAGCAAGAAAATAAAGCGAAAGAAATAAATGGAACGGCTTTCCATCAATATGACAGCGCGAAGCAGATAGACAGAGAGATATATTTCCCGAATGTAAATAAATGTAAAAAATTCATTAACCTGCACAAAGGCAACGGCTAACGGTTCCTCTTTGAATAAACCGCTCGCGCTTTACAATTAAAACGGTCTGTTGTACTATTATGATCTTAAATAAATAAAAAACTAAAATAAAAAAAAATTCGTTTTTCTCTTTTTCTTTCTGGACCGATTTATTTTAACAATAAATTTCTTTTATATTATAGTTAAACTTAAATAGATTGAATAAAGTTTGAAATCGTTAAAGTAAAATTTTATATGCATTTTTCAACTTGTATTCAAATGTCTATCCATACGCACTGCGCTAACGAGCAAGTGACTCAAATTATATGCGCACATATGTCCACTGTATTGGTGTTGCTGCTGTTACTGCTGTTGTTTGATTGCCCTCATCTGAATTCAGTAGTGGCAAGTAAATCATAAAAATCTCATAAATGAAATGTTTATGAGTTTATTTAAGAATTCAACGCCAAACAGTGTAATTCATAAATAAAGGAAAGAAAGAAAGGCAAACAGACAAACAAGCAAGCAAATAAATGGATAGACAAGCCAGACATGCTGATTAAAGACACTGCAAGAAAAATGTTTTTATTTTTCTTTCATTTTTCTTATTCTGCATATTATTGTGTGTGTGTGTGTGTGTGTGTGTGTGTGTGTTTGACGATGTTGGTGTTTGAAGCTATTTGAAAATCGAAGAATGAATTAAGTTTTGCTAACTGACTAAAAATATTTATTGCCTACATTGGGGAGCCGTATATTACTTTGATAGGGAATTTTTGCAATGTATTTATGAATTTATATGATTTTATAATTCAGGGGCACATACTGCGCATTGATTGTCTGACGGGTAAGTTAATGTCTGCCTGCATATATTCTTATGTAAGTGTGTATTCGTGCATATATGTAGTTATATGAAAGCATTATCATTGCCTTTGAGATCAGAAGCACGCTTGCTTCGCTTGCTTGCTTGTCTGCTTGCCATTGGTGTCGTTACCTAGTTTACTCAGTTTATTCAGTTAGGTTAGCCAGCTACTCAGCCAATCAGTTCAGACAGTGATTCAATCATCGCTCATTCATACATTCATACATTCATACAGAAATGCAAAGCTAATGCTAATTGATTCTCAGAAATTGGTTGAAAGCGTTATGATTAATATTTACGTGCAGTCACGTAAATTATATATAATAGATACAAAATTTTTTTCAATGAAAATATATAAGAAGGAAAACAAAGAGCTGTAATCGCAGTTGACAATTAAAAAACTTCATCAGAGACAGTTCGATTTTGCCTTTTTTTTGTTTTTTTTTTTGTGTTTGTTTCACAAACAAGTGATTGTTCAATTCTTGATAATTATAATGTAAAGTAAAGTAGATTTATGATAATAACGAGCTTTTAGATAAGTTATTACCAGACATCACAACACTGTATACTATGATTGCGCGGAAAGAGATTTATGGCAACGATTTCAAGTTGATTTTCAAACCATAAGTGATTTCGGCTTAAGTAAAGTTTTATGCTCAAATTAAGACGCGCGTGTTAAAAATTTTAATTTTCTTCTTTTTTTTTTTAAATAGGAAAAGTGGAAAACCAATCTAAGCAATCATTGACATTTGAAAAATTTAAAAGACACTCAGTTATTTCAATCATCATCATCATCCGACTAATGAATACGCTTCAAAATTTTTTAATATACAAAAGACATTTCCCGTATTACTAACACATCACTCAATAAGATTATAGGGCGACATGAACAATTTTTGACGAACTCAAGTAAGTTTTCGAAACTTTTTACCTTCACATGTTACAGGCGATTTAGTTGCGAAATATTCTATTTGAGATATTGATGGACATAAATGTGATAGCTTTCGTTTTCAGTCTGATGCAAAATGACACGAATGCTGTAGTATTTCAATTTTGAAGCCAACTATTTTTCATTCATTTTCGGCTTCATTGCGGCTTTAATTTATTAATTACAGTTAGTTGAAAAATTAGATGTGTGTCGTAATGGTTGTTGTGGTGCTTATTGCATGCATACAATTCTGTTAGGGCTGCTTTTCTAATCAGAGTCCGGATTTAACAACTAATTTTGAAACAAATTTACTGCCATGTGACTGAAATTTTTAACGTCCGCCATGTGTATGTTAACCTCACTGGCCGCTACTTCTTCTTTCATTTTTTACGTGAAACAGCGCCCGCGTGTTGTATCCACTTCACTCACTTTTCAGGTGATGTACTCCCCGTCGCTTTATTTAGCGCCTTTTAGTATTCATTGTAGCGAGACCTTATTCAAAGTCCCTCTAATATTTCCTCCTTTGTCACGGTATCATGTCTACAAGCGAATAAAATTATATTGAGATCTAACTTCGCCCTCACGTAGACTGAAACCGGCCTAAAACTTATATGAACGCGTTTGCGGTTGAGAACGCAATACAAAGATCTATGAACTGCAAACGCAACGATAAAGTTAACACACTTCCATCTTTCATTAATGGAGACGTGAAGAAAAAAGAAAAAGAAAAAAAAGAAAACCAAGCTTTATCATCCTATTAGAGAGATGCATGTGTATAATATTTGTTCATTTACTTACTTAGTTAATGACGCTTTTAAAAAAGTCATTTATTTATGCGCATATATTTTTCAATCGCACATACACAATGATAACTGGTGATTTAGTTTAGCGTTGACAATTAAAAAGCGCAGCAGGAATAGAGATCAGCAATAGCTAGATGCCATACAACAGCGTCAACTGACTGATCACAGTCGGCTGCTATTGAAATAGAGAGTGATTGTCATGTGCTTTGACACTTAAGCGCTTGCTGTTTAACACGTTTTCTGAGGTGTAATTTATGGCCGCTACTTAAACGTAAACCGAGCTCTTCACCACTTGTTGACGTTAACTTGATTTGGTTTTCATTTTCATTTTCATTTTTAATTAAAACCAGACTCTTTAGGAAATTTTTAGTTTTGATATGTAATCGAAACTTTGCAACATATCCTAGTGACTTTTGTCAATATTGTTATTGGTTATTATGGATTTTATACTTCCCAGACTATTAATTAGGGTAATACAATTTTCAATTAACACAGTTATGCGGCTTAGTAAGTTTTTTTACAGTCCATTTACTGCTTATTATATATATGATAGATTATTTCACTTACTATTAAGATCAAATATCATTAACTTTAATAAAAGTGACATTAAATGCTTCGCGAAACCTTGGTTTGTGAAATACTTTTAATTGAGATGTCAAAACATATATACATATAAATACATTGTCGAGAAGAAATCTGAACAATAAAAAAAAAAAACATAAAACAACGGAAAATGTCTCTTAACTTATTACCGTAATCGAAAAGTAGTAAGAATTTCCCTTAAAAATGTGAGGTTTTGTACAATTTTCTGAAAACTTTCCAAATAAGTCTACGAAGAAATTCCCGATATTTTTTTTGATAAATTTCAAATTTATTGAAAACATACTTGTTAGAAAGCTTAATAGGCGAAGTAGCGACCGTCATTAGCTTTGGTCTTTTGTCATTTATTGGATAGTTTACGGATACTCTCACGGTTCCCAGATGATCGATCCATGTTCACACATTTTCACCTTTGGCGATCTACTAAACACAAAATCGTAAGATGCATGCTTCGTAACTCGTTGGCGTATTATCAAGTGCCCTATAGTTACTTCTATTTTTTGTAAAATTTTGTTTTATCATCAAACACAATTTTACTTTCAAGTCATAAGAGATTGTAAAAAATTGCATATTGCATAGAGCTATTCTAGGCGATTTTGCCGACCAGAATTACGAGCTGCTTTCCCATTAAAAAAGCGGAAAATTGCTTCACAAACGATTTGGCATTTATTCATCGCTTGTATTTTAATTAAGTTGACCCCGCCCTCTCTCTTCATCTCGCACTCAACGCCGTTTTCTATAATTTAATTATATGGCATTACTAAGCCATAATGCTTTTGACATATAACGAGATATTCGAAATTTAACAAAACATAAAGACATAAAGTATTCATAGATAATAAAAAAAAAAAAAGATGCGCGTCAGCGGAAATTTAATAGGTTGTAATAAATATCCTGAGGCAGCTCGTTTTCATATTTGATAATTTGATGTTGATGACACACAAGCGTTACGAACATTTATTAGCGAACTCTACATTAACAAGATAAAAACAAGTCGCTTGAATTAAATCACCGTCGACTCATAAAATTGATGGAATATTAAATTTTGATAAATAAATAACTGTACATAGAAGAAAGCAAGAAGTACATGAACGCTAGCGGAGGAAGTGAATGTTATTTAGAGGAAAGAAAGTATATATATATATATATATATGTATATATGTATATATATGTAGGTTGTGTGATGTCATAAATTAATTTAAAAATAAAAATCAAAAAAAGAAAAACCAACAATCAAGATGAAAACATTTGCGCGCCCTCGTCTTGGCCATACAATTGCTATGCAGCAATTGATCCTAGAGAAGTCTACCTCCCCAATCTACAATTGCGGACAAATTGTTACAACAAAGCATTTGCCTTTCATTATTTAGATGAATCGCATCGGGTATGACCGATCCTATGCAAATCCTGCCGTCAGCTACAGATCGCAGCATCTCGCTAAAATTAATATATTACTTTATTAGAACTACTCGGCTCAATATCTACTATTCCTTCGTAATATAAAAAGCAGTCTTTTAGGGCTTATTTGATTCGTCTAAAAAAAGTGATAATATTATAGCAATAATAATAATGAAAAAAAATCTAGTATACGACCGTATGAAGCCACCAAGCTAGCAATGCAAACGAATCCACTTACGCACTATGCCGTATAACAAGCAGTGTATCCGTAAGTGAAAATGCTTAGCTAAAGTGTTGCCTAAATATTTATTCCTTCTGTAACTGATGTTACTTTCAAAGTTTCATGTTTTTTTTTCAGTTGTCTGAAAATGATATCATATTTTCGGGCGTTCTAATAATCTCCTTCGATAAATCTTACTTAGGTTTCTGATCAACAGTTCGTTTAAAAACAATTATGCTTTAAATTTTTTGCTTAATACTCTATGTAATTTTCCCCCTACATAGGGAAATGGTAGAGGTGCAGATATTTCTAGGAAAGCAGGGAACAATTTGGGGGTTTGGATCGAATTCTGCGAAATAATTGGTGATTGAGAAGGACGAGTTTCGTACTGACAAAAATAAAACAAATAACTCGTGGAATTTGTTAGTTAAGCTTGAGAGATAAGTCGGAATGAAATCATTCATAGGTTTTAGGTAGTAAAGACATTATAGTTGATCGCGGACCACTATTAATACCTAACCTCACTTAACACAGTTTAATGAAGTTAGTCATATAACGACATTGGGAAGTGACCGATAAAATGGTCCGATCCGATATTTGAAAAATTGTGACCTGTGAGTTGAACACAAACAGACAACAGACGGACAGATGAACAGATAATCATAAAAGCTTAAAGTTGAAGGATAGGCGGTCAGTACAATAAGAAGTGGGTCTCTCTCAAACCTTTTTGGCTATTGCTTAATGCATCTTGTACCACAAGTGGTGTAGGGCAAGAAATTCATTTCGTTCTATAATAAAAGAATATGCGAAGTAGAAACTGGGGGCAACCGTGGAAAAATATCAGGAGGGGATTAAGTGAAGCCGTATGCATGTGTTTTCGCATCGGCTTCCTTCATTTTAAAGCATAGGATACAAGTTGCCATGATTAACCTAGAAATGTGGAAATCGTACAAAATGGTTAAGCAATTAGTAGAATAAACCCAAGCTACTTCATTGCTTATCCAACTATGTATTGCAAGAAAAGGATTATAGTAAGTATCTGCCATCGATATAAACGATATTGACACAATTGGTTTTTTCCTTCGGTGTTAAACAAAGCAGAAGAGTACTAGGCTATATAAGAAGTAATTGAAGTCTTCAAGACTGAAGTTCGCCACGACCTTAATGAAATTTATCATCAGTTGTGTCAAAAGCTTTATAAAGGGAGTAAAGCGAGACCCTCATACCTCAAATACTTCACATCACTTCACATTTAAAATAAAGTAAATTCACTTATAGACCGCTTTATAGGACTGACAGATAACTCAATGCAACCACATAAAAACATACTAATCGAACTCAGAAATGCTTGCATAAAAAAACGCGTAAATGGAAAAAATAAAAAGTGGAAAACATAAAAATAACAATTCAATTAATTAATTGCAAAGTGAAATATCCATTGCAGAGAAATAAAAAATAAATAAATTTTTAAAAATTAGAAAAAGTGACAGGGAAAGTAATTACCAAAATAATATATAATATAGTAAATTAAAATTAAGCGGAAATAAAATTAAAATTTATATTTTCTCTTTCTTTTCTTGTTTTAAAAATTTTGAAAACTCGTAAAATCGGTGGCTCGTGAAATTGACAGTACATTTATATTAGGAATTAATTAATTTACTCATATATATATATACATGTGTTCGTTAGTGCTGTTAAGGCCTTCTACCGTTACTACCTTATTCAGCATCTATTAAGTTCTTGTAATTGTAACGGAGTAGGCGATCCGCACAGCGATCTAAAAGATCTATTGTACTCGTTCGTGCCCCTAGCCCTTCAACTTTAGGGTTCTTATGAATCTTCTTAGGTTGGGAGTGCTTAGTACGACGTTCGGCGTAACAAAATGTTCCCTGCAGATGCCCATATATTCACAAAGGTTATAATAAGACGTTCTACGCAAACCGGCATCCGAGATACGCATCTATTTCAGCCGGTACCTGAGCTCGTGTACAAGCCAGTTACGAGATGTACTTCGCTCCTTCATACTTCCAAAGACTTGCTTGCTAACTTTTCCTGTGCACATTGCGAAATAAGCCTCTTGTTGTAGCTTCTGCGTACGCCGCCAAGTCCTGATTGCTCAAGTACCCATATAAGGTGCATCTCACTGCGCTTACGTAGCTCACACAAGGTTTGAAGGCCCTCTTAACACAAACTTAAAGATAATTTCGCGCACTTTCAGCGCCTTGAAAGTAACTTGACAGCAGTAAAAATATTATAGATATCTGCTTGAAATATTGAGGCAGTATAGCCTCTTGGTATAGTCTTTTGAAATCTCTGGCCACCTATACGAATCCCGATTTCGCCATTTTCTAATTTGGTTTTATTTAATCATAAAAACAAAACTATTTTTAAAAAAATAGCAACATTTTTAGCAACATCAAAGGCTAACTTTTGTTAACAAAAAATGATATACGACCGTAATCGAATCTCTTCTACCCACCGCCGTTATCCCAAAAAAGTCTAAATAAAAGGAAAAGAACTAAGCTTTCATATGCTATAAAATTTTATAACCGAAGCTGAATTTTTTTATTTTCGGAATATGAAAATGTAGTTCTTTTCACTATACGTACTTGTTTCACTATAATAAATTTTGGTTATTATTTTCCACTAATGTGCAATCCCTCGATTTACTGCACTTTTTCGGCACTTTATGTACCACTAGAGCATAGACACAAAGCCAAGAGAATGCCACATTCTAGACCCGAATTCACTTCCTCCCAATTGAATCGGTCCCAGCTTCGCAGCTACTCCGGGGTCGGCTCAATGATAAGCGTGTAACGCGTTGTGTTTAAAAGCCATTTTAAATGAAAAAGGACGTATTTCCTGGAACCATCTGTTAGTATATTTGAGGATTCTTTTAGTCCGGGCAATCTCTTTGGAGTGCTTGAAAAAAATTCCGAAATTTGAAGGAAAAAATGTCAGTCAAGCAATGAATTCTCGTTGCACACATTCTAGAAACTTCAAAGCGTATCTTAATGCAACAAAAAACACTGCCTATTAAATTCAATGTTTCGGTTCATTTTAGCATACTGCATAGTTTCATTCTCAATCAAGATTTGCAGCATTTTTTTGTGAATTTCTCCAGATTAAAAGTCAACCACTTGTATGAAAAGCATTTCAAACACTAAACATTTCGAAACCTTTTAATATCGGACTGTCCGTTTCGTTTGCATTATGATTATATACAAAGTAATCATGCGTTTTCATATATATAAATGCAAGCTTCATTTTATTTTCAAACTTTGTAAAAGTTTGTCCACATAGCTTGTCTCGGGGTAGAGGATGAAGTGTACTTGACATTTTGCTAATGTTTCTGCAATGTTTTTCCGTGCGTATTAAAATATGCAGACCTGCGATATGCACACGTAAGTGCAAACAAACGCATTCTTACGTATGTGCATACGCGACTTGTAATGTTTACTTGTTACAGTGCCTTACAGAGTATCATAGGTTTCGAAAGGGGTGCGGAAACATATTTCAATTTTATTTAAACTTTTAAGCTTGAGAAAGAACTATATTTAAATGATATTTTATTAAAGATTCAATTAATTATTTTCAAATTTCAGGCAATGAGGATTGGAACAGAATAACTTTGTCAAGTTTATCTGAAAGGAAGAAACCATATAATTTCTGTTCGTAAATAGGTATTAAAGTAGTCCCCACAGGAAGGATTCAAAACAAGCGAGGGAAGACACTATAGAAGTCCTTGGCCCTACCGGATACTACAAGTGGATGGGTCGATTCGAACCGTTTGCAATGGCGCTCGACCTTAGGCCAAAATCCGGATTCCGTAGCATACCGAACTTCATCGATATATCTCAAAAATTACGGTCTGTAGGTTGAACACAACAAAAAAAAAAAACACAGCAGACAGACGGATAGACAATCTTAGATCAACTCAGAATCCTTTTATAATAAAAGCAGCTTCCGCCCCAAGTCGCAAGTGGGTGCTGCAAGTCCTTGTAATTGCCTATCTAAGTCTCCATGCAATTACAATAGTAATTGTCGACTTTCGATTGACACAGCTTGCCATCAAGTCCCTATTACGCAACCTAAGGTGTCCGAAAATTATTTTGAAAATAATTTGAAAAAAATGAACTTTTTAAAACATTTGTGCTGCAAACTTTATCTGTAAAGTTTCAAATACCGTGGTATTAACAAATATTAAAAAAAGGAAAAATTTACGGAACTTTTTGCAAACATTTGCTTGATTATGTTTTCTTTCTTTTTTCAGCACTCTACCGGTAATTTATCAGTTTGATTAGTGTATACATTTTTTACTGAGTGAATATTAAAGACAGAAAAAAATATTGTAAAATGAATTGTTTGTTGAAACGGCGAAAACAAAAAGCTGTAAAACAGAAAACAGCTTCCAGCTACTAAAGCTAATTAAATACTTTTTCAACTCATTTGCATTTAACAACAAGCAAACAACAAGTGATACAAATGATATCAAGGAAACGCATTCACAACAATGTTGTAGCGTGGTTTTCAATTGAGTTTTAAATAAGCTTTTAGGTCGAATTGTATGCCACCTATAAGAAAGATCGAGCGTTTTTTTTTTTTTTTAAATGGTTAAACAAATACTTGCACGTAGGTCTTCACATATTGCTTGTGAAAATTGATCATAGAGGATCTCTCTTAGATAAGGCATTATTGTCCCTGCGAACATTTGTCAAACCATCACTTTTTCATGTGAAGGTGAGCTCTTTAAGTTTTGTGCAGAATACTTTAAGCCACGTTTTTAAATGCTCTTGGATAGGAATGTTGATCCGTAAGAGAGGTATTGTTTAATCGCGTCGACTGAATCCATTTCATTTTGTGTTATACAAGCTCAATTCTTAGTTTAATTTTTAATCTATATTTATGTAGGCAAAGCCACAGCGCTAGCGAACGTATGATGAGAAGCAAAGAATAAACAGGAGACAGATAAAAAAAAGAGTTCACTATTTTAGCGTTACCATCAATTTTACCTCTACCGGGTTACCATCACACAATACATTACCAACAGGATGGAAGTGAGGACTGATTTGTAGATCTACTACATCACTTTGTTTGTACATATTGCATTACAAATATATTGCAAAAATACTGCTTCCACATAGTAAAGTATATTATGTAAGCGAATTCAAAATTTTCAAAATTTATAGAAAATGGTTTAAAAAAAGGTTTTTGAAAAGACAAGCCTAGATTTATACAACGCCGAAAAGTATGAAACGACCTATTTGAAGCAATCTCTCTTGGAAATAAAAGTACGATCCGTTACAGTTGTACATGAAAAACATTAAATAAACTAAACTAATCCGCTTAATATGGTTACTCACATAATGACTTTTTGAAATAAAGCGTTATATGGGAAGGGGTCGAAAAAGTGAGTGCCGGGATCTAGGGGCCCCTGCCAAATCACGATTTCGGGATATTAATCGACCTCAAGCTCCACAATGCAGTAATTATTACTATTATGTGTCTTAGCTCGTAGTCATTTATGTCAATTACTTCAAGTTTTCGAACAAAGTTTACCAAACACTCGATACACTATTACCTAATACCTGGAAACGTCGACCAATTTAGATTCTTAGTTCATTGCTGTTGCTGTTGCTTTGTGCAAAAGCAGCATTGCCTTCCTCACTGTGAGCATTTTTTGGTCTGCCAGAGTTTAGTTTCAAAAGAATCACTTTTCCACACCAATGGTTGAAATGTTAATTTCTCTTAGCACGAAAACAATCACAAACTTTGATGACATGTTAATGTGACCGAAGATTGACTTTCATAATAAGATTGAATTATTTGAATGCGTTGTTCTTGCGCGTGTACGTATCTACGACTAAAATTGCACATCGTTTTAGTTGTCAAATGTCAATGTGACACTTAAAAAAGCTGATCGTTCAGGAAATGTTTAGCAATGCAGTCTAAAGGCGCGCCATTTGAGAAAAAACTGGACGTTGTAATCAAACATTTTCTCCTTAAAAAATTTGCATTCTAGAAATTGTGATTTACATGAATAGCCGCAATAGCCGCAAAAAGCAGACGACTTAACCATAAATTCTTAGATACGCACACATACACATACACATTTCTTGATTGTGAATTCAACTT